TGAGTCTGTACCTCCTGCCTGTCTATAGATTATGGTTCCTGGTCCTGTGTCCCTGTCTCGACAGAACCAATCCTCTTCCCCAACACTTATTATTGCATGATTTAAAGGCCTTGGCCATGTGACCACTAGGTTCTCACAGTTACTCAAAGACTCGGTGCGGAGAATCGTTTATCTGCCTGCTATCATGTGAATTACACTGCATTGTCTTGTTCAATGTAAACGTGCTTCATACTAACTGCAAACAGTTAATCTCCTCTCTTCGAGGAAGACTTACGTACTGTAAAAGAAAATTCTAGGCCTTTTCAGATACTATGAAAGCAACCTCAGTAAATCTGCAGACAGAATAAGTTGGGCACGCATGCTGATCTCCTGAAGGGTTGGGAGGCTCTGCAGGGCTATATGGAGAGGCTGCATCAACGGGCCAAAGCCAGCTGTGTAAAGTTCAACATGGCCAAGTGCCAAGCAAAAGAACATGGGGCTGCTGGTGGACAGCCAGCTGAACGCAAGCCAGCAGTGTGCCCAAGTGGCCAAGAAGGCCAACGGCATCCTGGCCTGTGTCAGGAACAGTGTGGCCAGCAGGAGCAGGGCAGGGATTGTCCCCCTGTTCTCAGTACTGGTGAGACCACACCTTGAATGCTGTGTTCAGTTTTGGACACCTCAGTGTCAGGACACTGAGGCACTAGAGCATGTCCAGAGAAGTGCAACAAAGCTGGTGAAGGGTCTAGAGCACAAGTCTTAAGAGGGATGGCTGAGAGAACTGGGACTGTTTAGCTTGCAGAAAAGAATGCTGAGAGGAGACCTTACAGCTCTCTACAACTACCTGAAAGGAGGTTGTAGAGAGGTGGGTGTCAGCCTCTTTTCTTAAATTACAACCAATAGACAAGAGGAAATGGCCTGAAGTTACACCAAAGGAGGTTTAGGTTAGACACTAGGAAAACCTTCTACATGGAAAGGGTTATAAAGACTGGAAGAGGCTGCCCAGGGAAGTGGTTGAGTAGTCATCCTTGGATGTCTTTAAAAGCCATCCAGACACGGTGCTCAGGGACATGTGTTAGAAGTGAGCGTGGAAGAGTTAGATAAAGTTTGGACTTGATGATCTCTTTGGTCTTTTCCAGCTGAAACAATTCTGTGATTCTATGTGTGATGAAAATGTCCGTATTTCTTGATATATTGGCCTTTTCAGTACCTGAAAACGGAGCATCTTGACGAAGGGGTTAAAAAATGCCTGCCTCCTTTTAAAAGCTTTACAGGAACTTTTCTATCTCAACTGCCCATGAATTTGTTTTGTCTTCAAAACACACTAAGCATCATTTTATGATGCAAAAAGATCTTAAATGCAAGTGTGTTTTTGTTACGATACTTTTCATTCCAGTGTTGCACTCACCTGCCCAAACAATATGTAGGAGTTGGTTTCTGGAAAAAAAGAAAAGGGAAGGCAAAAAGAAAATGCAAAGCCTTCCTGTCCTCTACCAGGATCCTTTCTGGTAGCTGCAAGGAGAATACGTTAATATTTCTGTGTCACCTTGCTACCCTGACGTTACCCCACGACAGGCTTCATACAGTGTTCCAGGGATGGAAAATCCCCATGGAAGAATATGTCACATTAAGGTGCACTGATTAAAATACTGTGACATGAGAATTTCATGTCATTTTGGATAATGAGTACTGAGTGAAAGGGAGAGACAATAACATGAAATACTGTCAGCTGCATGCTGTGAGATTTTATGTGTCTGGAAAAATAGTAAGACAGGTTTATTTACTTGTGCTGCAGAAGATGGTGACTACCAGCTTATGCAAGTTTTCTGTAACAAAACATCAAGTTTTTTCTCTCCATTAC